ATCGTAGGATAGTCGAAGAGGTCAAAATGTTTTCTAGAGTTGTGAAAAAATGGAACCACTTATTAAGCACTTTTAAAAAATTAAATATTATATAATTAATGTTAGACTTACTTTAATTAATGGCATTGTTAAAAACTAACCAAAAGTCTCTCGAACCTAACATCTGATGTACAAGATTTAGTAAGCTGAGAATAACAGAGCTTAACATCAGACAGGACCTTTTTACATTGGCTTCTTAAAATAATAAAAGGGCATTTATTCTTTAGAGAGATGTTTTGTAAAAAAGATGAAATAAATGATCAAATGAGGTTTGACTTAAATTGATGAGTAGGAATAAAAGCTTCCAAACTTTTAGTCCAGAAGGAATAAAAGCTTATGAGAAGTGCTTTATGCATACATATTATGGACCCAAACATTAGTGTTTGCTATTTATTTAGATGCTGGTATACAATGTCTTTTCATATTTGTATAAACTTTAGTATTTATATGGTGTAGTACTTGCCAAAGGAGAAGATTATCAGATGGATGTGTGGTGTGACTCTAGCAAGACTAGAAAAGGAGGTATAATCTTAGACAGATTAGAAAAAACATTGTATCGAACAATATTTGTTAGAAAAAATTAAAGTAATTTAGGTATCAGCATATAGAGAGGTAGCATCTTCAGTAGAAAATGGTAGTGGTAGAAGTAAAAAAACTTGAATAGAGTGCCTTATATATTGTATGAATGAACTTTAGTTAAAAATAAAAAATCTCTAGATTGTTTGTATTAAAGAAACAGCATAAAAGAGGAAGGCTAAAGCCTGATGATGATAATGATCATCATCATGTACCATTGTACCAGAATTAAAAGATAAATCTAAGATGACCATGACGAAAAATTTGATGCAGTCTCGGTCACAAACCCGGCCTAAGATGGCCTGGTTTGTGATCGGGGCTGCATAAAAATTTATACATCCTAAATGTTATATTTTGAATATATTGTATACATAAACATCATTATGATCAACATGATCATCATTACCATCATCATCATCATCATTATCACCATCAGGCTTTAGCCTTTCTTTTTTTTGCTGTTGATGATGATGGTGATGATGATGATGATGATGATGATGATGATGATGATGATGATGATGATGATGATGATGATGATGATGATGATGATGATGATGGTGATGGTGATTATAATGATCATCTTGATCATAATGATGTTTATGTATACAATATATTCAAAATATAACATGAATTTTGAATAAAAAAATATGCTTTAGGTCACAAACCCGGCCTAAGATGACCGGGTTTGTGACCGGGGCTGCATAAAAATTTTTATCATGTTCATCTGTCCAATAGTGAAAAGAGTTTCAGTATCATTACAGTTTTCAAACATGAGTATCTCATAATATAGTAGTTAAATAAGCAGTAAACACTATCTTTGCCTCTGTCTTTAGTGTCTGAACAAATATGATATATTTTGCAATTATTGTTGTTAAAAACAGAACCAGTAAACAATTGAACAGTGTTTACTGTTATTTCATCTTATAGACCAAGCATTGTTAAGCAATGTCTGTTCTGTAATAAAAATCTTATTTTTAACTTATTTATTTTGTTAATATCACTTGATAAATATTTTTTAATTTTATTATTAAAAATAAAACCAACATTATTTGCTAAATTTTGTACAAGAACTTTACGTTTAGTCAACTTTTTGTTTTTCAATTTCTCAACTCCAGACATTTTTATTTTCATTATATATTAACCTAAACTTTAAACAGGAAACTATTGAAATTTACAAAGACCTTAAAATCAATTATTTATAGAATTATTTAATTTCATCTTTTCAAGCAAATTCAAACTGAAAATCACTTTCAAAAGACCACTATGTAGTTATTTTCTTGTTGAATTTGATAAAGAAAATTGTGAACTTTAAAACAAGTAAATTGTATCAATACTATAATCATGTGAAAGGTATTTATATACAAAAGTTATTTTTATCATATTATATTTTCTTCCAATTCACATCAACTATTTTTTTCTGATTTTTTTAATTTGATATTCTTATCTGTTTAATGTCCAGGGATTATCTTTTTCCTGATATTTCTGGAATTCCAGATATTTTTCTCAACTTTTAGTTTTTCTGGATAACAAAAATTTTTCCCATACATACAAGTTTAAGAATATATTTTGTAATATATTTGTTTTTTATGCTTTTTCACTCATTACTCATACAAAAGTTAAGAAAAGTTTAAAAAAAATTAAAAGTAACTGAGCTAAAATCAAAATTACGAGGAATATTAGGGAAAATATATTCCAGATTTTTTTTTGCGGATGTTTTTCTCTTATGATTTTCAGGCTTGGATAGGAATGGCGTGCAATCGAGTGCTATTGCTGACCACGCAAATTTTTTGACAACTTGATTGTTTATATGTTTTTATGATTTAAACTTTTAATGAATGTAGAAGCGCTAAGGCTAAACTTAAACTTGGAAAAAAGTTGAAAAAAAACTAACGAAAAAAGAAACAAAAACAAATTTGTTTACAAAAAAGAAATTATATTGGCACTAAAATACAAATAAAAACTTAAACTCGAAGCGAAAATTTTTGTTACATTATTAATTACGTATGAAATAAATGTTAAAACTTATCTTTTTAAATATTATGCAAAACGCTTTTAAATTAAGAAACATATTACTTCTAATGATTGTCTAATAAACAAACAAATTTTATCAAATTTATTAAAAAAGTGTTTATATGCTATTTTTAAATTGTATAAATATTTTTTCAAAAAAGTTGTAAAAAAAAAATTGCTTACAAAATAATAGTCTTTTTAAAATAATTAGTAAGTCTAATTAAAAAAGAGGTATTTCAACTTTTTTTATTCGTAAAAATAGGAAAAAAATAAATAAATAAAATGCATCTGTGATTTAAAAAAAAATAAACTGCCAACAAGCAATTTAGTTTAATTTTAATTTGAGAATTACAACTTTATTGATAAGCGCTTTGTGTAACAATTTTAAAAATTATTATAAAAGATTAAAACTCGATCATTCCTTCTCGTTATTGAAAAAAGTAAATTTTTTCTAAAAATAAAATGTTTGTTTAAAACACTTTAAAAAATCGTAAGTTTAATTATAAAAATTAATTGTATGAACATTACAAAATGCTCTAAAAATAGTTTCAATTGTTCAAATTTATCATAGAAAATACATGTCTACATAAAAAAAACTTATATAAAACATTTTTTATTAATTTTAATGTGCGTTTATGTAAACAATAATTGTAATTAATTTTATGGTTTTATTTAAAGCTTCGTGTAAAATAAAAACTTCAGAAAAGATCAACGATTAAAAGATATTTGTAACGTAATACTTTTTTTATTGCATTTAAATTGTTAAAATATCTAATTAGCTGTGGTTGAGTTGTAAAGAAAAAAATATATTAGCATTGTCAGTTACAGAGTACCATCGCACTCTCTAATTGACCACGCTAATATTTTGTTTCTTCAGTACTTTTTGATTATAACTAAAAATGTTTTAAAAAAATACATTCTATTTTGCTCTCAAATAAAACTTTTCATTGTTTTTTGTTACGTGTGTGACATCACAAAAATGGTATTTACTGAATTGTAATATATATATATATATATATATATATATATATATATATATATATATATATATATATATATATATATATATATATATATATATTCATTCAAAGCTAGATTTTTTTGTTTAAATTATATTAAATAGTTATGTAAATGCTTTTATGTATAAAAAATATTTAATACCATGCTAAGTATTTTTTATGACAAATGAAAAGTAATATACTGACATTAAAAGTTAAAAAATTTTGAATTTTTTTAACTGAAGAAATGAATAACAATATTATTCTGTACACTATACAAAAAAATCTAAATGTATTTTAAAATGTAAATTAAGTTTTTTGTAGAAATATGCAAAGTGTTTGAAAAATTAGCTGGTTTTACTATTTGATCGCTTAGAACAGGCAGCCAAACTTTAATCTGATCTTACTTCTTAGATTCTAAAATTCAAATAACAATTTTATTGAGATTTTGTAGTATTATATATTAGAGCTCACAGTGGTTTGTGAGTTGTTAACTCCAACAAAATTCTGTTATTTACTGCAAACAACTATTGCAAAACTGTCAATATTCCTATATTAATAAATGCCAACCCTCTAATTAAGTCCTCTGCTTTATGTCTTCTTGGATTGTCATTTACTACAGACCTCTTACTCAAATCATATGTATATATGGTTTCCATAAATTGTTTGCAAAGTTAGCATTTTCTAAAGTTGCTTCTCCTTATTGTGTTTGCTATTTTATATTCCTGATTCCATTCTACACCTCTACAAATGCGGTAGTGGTGTAGTGGTAGAGCGCTCACTTCATAAACAAGTGGTTCCGAGTTCGACCCCCACCACATCCCTGGTAGTACCGCGCTCAACTCGTTTCTCCGCGCAGCGGCCTTGTTCATCAAGGTTTGTGTTTCGGAGTTATAGAGTTGAGAGAGAGTTATAACCACAAATAAGTAGCCTCCTCGTCTGTAGTGGCCTTCTCGGCCTTGAGGAGGTGAATTAAATAAAAAAAAAAAATAATAAAAAAAAAAAAAAAAAATCTCTCATTTATCTCTGTAATTAATACTTTTGTTATATTATGGGTAATTCTAATTTTTTCCCCTCTCTTCAATCTTTTGGAAGTCTCTCTCATCTTCAGGTTTGCCTGACTCACACAGTTTAAAGTTTTCTCAGTCTGTCAACCATTTTAATGCTCATGCTTTTTTAATTCCCTTTATTATTATTATTATTATTATTATTATTATTATTATTATTATTTGTTGTTTTAATTTTAATTTTACAAAACTCTTATTAAATGGTGAAAAACTTCATATTTGTGTTAGTGCTATGTGTTTATTTGTCTGAAAATTTTTTTAAAGAGTTCTAACAGGATCTAAAAATTATTTATAAATTTTTAATGTTTAGATTTGCCAGATGAAAAGCCGCTAAGCTGTTGTTGTATGTGGCGAGGATGTTCTTGGGAAGGTAAGAGTTTAATATGTTTAGTTTCTTTCTTTTTCTTTTTTTCTTATTTATTATCACATGTAAGACTTTTTTATATAAAACTTTTTTATATAATATAAAATCTTATATATAAAAAGTGGTTATAAAATGTATAGAAAATATTTATCTTTGCGAATGTGCTTGTTATCATGATTGTTAATTTTTTTTTCATTTATTCAAAACTTAACTTTTTTTTCATTAGTTTTCATCAGTTCCTAAAAAAATTTTTCATCAGTTTTTATCCCTTCAACTAAAATTGGAGGGTTGCTGATATTTGATTATTGTTTCGATCCCTAATGTAGCGGATAAAAAAATATGATTTTAACATTGAAGGAGACAACATTTTAATTATTTTTGCTTCTGCTTGTTTTTATGTAATATAGTTATTATTATTTATGTTAGTTTATATATATATTTAAGTTAGTTTTTATTATTTATGACTATATTATGTTATTATAGGATGTGAAGATTTAATGGAACTAACACGTCACATCATGTTTCATGGCTATCATTCTTTGTTGAGAGCTCTTGGCAAACTTGAACAAGATAAAATGTCATTGAATGATTGTCTTATTGAACAAGAAGATCAATATCATATGCTTTCATGTGTAACCACACCATTTCTTTGTTTATGGAATAACTGTGCTCAAGAACATTGCTGTCCTGATAAATTTTATCGACATGTAGAGAAACATGTTCTTAATTCAGACAGTATTTGTGATGAAAATAACAAATACAGAATGCAATGCTATTGGAATAGTAATTTTTTAGTTTTGTTTTTCTTTAAAGAATTAATTTTGTATGGGTAAATAAAAATATTTGTCATATTTTCAGCATGCTCAAACACATTTCGTGATAAACATAAACTTAAAGAGCATGTTCGTGTTCACACTCATGAGAAATTAGTTGCTTGTCCTGGATGTGGAGGCTTATTTTCAAATCGCACAAAATTACTCGACCACCTTTCAAGACAAAATACTCAAGCTTGTAAGTTATAATAAAAACTGACATTACGTGCATACGTAACATGAGTTTTTTTAACTGTTTTAACCTTTTTTTTTTTTTTTTTTTTGCAATGAAAACAATATAAAAATATATTAAAAAAAAAAATAAAGACAACAATAGTTATATCAGTTTATATATTTTATGACATTTAGACAATTCTGTATTTTAGTATGTTTATATTGCATGGATTATAATTGTACTTGCATAATAAAAATAGTTACGCTTTGCCACCACATATATCGCTTACACTCATACAAATTTATGTATTATTTACTAACATTAGTATGTTGTTTTAATTATTGCACAAACATTGAGATGTAGTAAAAGCAACAGTGTTGTTGAAATTGTACAATATTGAAAGAAATGCTCCGTAAAAAAAATTGAGACAAATGCAATAAGTTAATTTTTGCTTAAAAATTTTTTTTTTTTAATTTTGAAAAAAAATAATTAATATTAAATTTTTTTTATTTGATAGCTAGTCTTTTTCATTTAAAAATCCAGATATAAAAATCCAAATATAAAAAATGATAAATTATTATTTTTTTTTTCAAATATGTTTACATTCTCATTACTAACTATGCATTTTGTTTATTTTGTGTTTATTAGTAACATATATATATATATATATATATATATATATATATATATATATATATATATATATATATATATATATATATATATATATATATATATATATATATATATATATATATATATATATATATATATATATATATATGTATGTATATATATGTTTATATATATATATATATTTATATATATATATATATATATATATATATATATATATATATATATATCCATATTATGTATTTGTTGCTACATAATTAAATAATAAATAATTTCTATTTTTAGATGAAAATTTTCAGTGTTCACATTGTTTGAAAAGATGTGCGTCTGAACGATTACTAAGAGATCACATGAGACATCATGGTATTTTTTTTTTATTAAATATATTAAACATATTTGTCTGTGTGTTTTTATAAATATAAATAAATTAAAATATTATTAAATAGTATTAACTAATATGAAGCAATTACCTGATACAACTCTTGGAATTAGAAAAAAATGTGGTCAGCAATAATTTGCCGAACGCAATCTTTTAAAGGTCCACATCAGTTTGGCAAAAAAAAAAATTGATACAAAGGTCTTTCCATAAAATATAGAAATGAGGTTGGCAATTGCTGACCTCAAACACTTTTAAATTAGCAGTTAGGTCTGCATTGCCAAATGCTGACCCTAATTCAGAGGGCTGCTGATATAATATCAATATCATTGATATCATATCAGGTTGATATCATATCATATCTAACTTATAATGTAAACACTTTTATATCTGATTTTGTATCTACAAAATCAGATATGAATTTAATTATTTTTTATTGTTTAATTATTTTGCATTTTTTTATTATTAGTGTTTGGTTTTATTATTATAGTTTTATTATTTTATATATATCAGAATAGTTTTTATTTATATCAGAATAGTTTTGATAAAAGGTAATTTACTAATGATTGTTTGCTATTGTTTTGGGACTGACAGTTATTTTGAGTTTATGTAAACTTGTTTTTCTAACAAGTTTTATTCATTAATTTTTATTTACATATGGGGTTATAATTTTGATTATTATAAAATGTATTAATATAAATTATCATAAATTAGCATAAAATAAGTTACCATTATCACAAAATTACAATTATCAGGAATGATAATATAATTATTATTATTAATTATTTATTTTAAAAATGTACAATAGATCATAGAAATAAAAAATATTGAATAAATTCAGAATGATCAAAATCTAAATAATATTTAAGGTAGTTGTATACAGGTTCAGTTCAATTATGAAAACTCGAAAATCTTTCATAATACTATGTAGTTCTAATCTGCATCTATTAGTGGTTAAATGTAAAAGTTTCATAAAATTTTAAATAGTCTGGTAAGCATGGATAGGTGTATAAAATCATATTATAGATTAAGCTATAAAGAACAAGTGGTAAAAATTTAATGACCTCAAATGATTTGCAAGATTTTTTAAAAATTAGTAACAATAGCCCTGTCATTTTAATATTTTGCATAATATACTTTTTTGTATTGGTTTAACAATTATATATTATACTGTCATTTTTTTTGTTTCATTTGTGCCCTTTTATTACATCTAATGAGGTGAGGTGCGGTGTATCATCTTGCAGCATTTTTTTTAAAAGACAATAAATAAACTAGATGTATGTTTGTAAAAAATATATAGACACCATTATTTTTAATTTATACTTATTTCAATTTAAATTTAATGATGATGGATTTTAAAAAATTTAGTTTTTTAATTTTATCATGTTTAATAAGTTCAAAATAATTTATAGTTAACTACTTAAAATGCCCTCATTGCGATATGACATGCCCTAATCCTGGATCTTTGAAATATCATATTCATTATCGCCATTCAGATGAAAGACCGTATCCATGTGCCATGTGTGATCACAGGTAAAATATTTTTTTTACAAATTTTTTATGTTTCATATATATGTATATATGTCTCTTTTTTACAACAATAAAGTATTGAAAAATATATAAAAATAATTTACTAATACTTTAAAACCCTTTGCTTTTAAAGTGTTCTAATCTTATTTGTTACGAGAACTTAAGAACTATTGATATTTTGAAAGTATTTTAAAGTGTCTCTTTATTAAATATAATTTTAAACCGCACTAAATACTATTTTAACTAATTTAACAAAAATTGTTTTCAGAATTTAAATGCAGTTAATTATTTAATTTACTGCATTTAAATTAAAAAAAATATTTAAAATTATAATTGAAAAAAATATTTCCTAAAAATTTATTTCGTAAAACATCTAATACTTAACATAATCTTTTGTTTTTTTATCATTATTTATTTATTTTAATTTTTACATACTTTTTGATAAAGATTATAAACAATTTACAGATATATTTTATCAGTTACCAATAAGATATTGGTAAACATAATTCATATTTATAAATGTACTACGTCAAATAAACTTTTTACAATATTGAAAGAAATAAGAAACAAAAAATTTGTGAAAAGAATTCTCTTAAAGCGATCCCCAAGTGCCCAGACAAGTTGCATTCATATCATAGATAAACATTAGAAAAAAAGTTCAAAGGTAATAAAACTTTCCAAATCAAATTATTGAATGAGATATTAACAAAAAACTTTTTAATTTTTAATGCCATTTTGTTTCTGGCAAAGGAAATTTCCAGCTCTTTGAGTATTTTTATTTTTTAAATCAGGTCTGATTAGTGCGCATATATTTGATGTCAATACAAAAAGTTTCTTTCAAGAAACTTAAATTTCACAGGTTTCCCCTTTAGCGGTTAAATAAAATTTTCAAGTTTTTAATATAAATTTTATATATATCTGAAAAATATAAATTAGATCATTTTAAAAACAATATCTTGAATCAGAAATATAAATTATTATAAGCTAAGTTAAAAATATATATATAAGATCATTTTTATAACAGTTTCCTCAATTTATTAAAAAAAATAAAGATTTTTTAACTTTCAAAATTTAACCATGTTGGATTATATTGTACTTAGTGGTGTATATAAAAAAATTAATTACTTATTTTCTAAGAAAAATGTTCATCTTGTGTATTTAAAAGTTCACTTCACCTAATTTACTATTTTTATTATGCTAGTTTATTTAACTCAAACACTTAACGATACGTTGAACAAAAAACAAAAATATGCTACAACGATTGTTTTTTATAACCACCACAGACTAAATATTAAGGGGAAACCCCAATCTGATTGTGTAAAACTGAACTGAGTTAAAAAAACTCTGCGGTGAGCAAAAACATTTATTATTGAAACCAGATGTTTTTTAATGGAAAAAAACTATGCGGAAAACAACAAATGCTTTTGTTAATATCTCATTCAATAATTTGTTTTGGAAAGTTTAATTAGTTTTAAACTTATTTTCTAATGTTTATCTATGATATGAACACAACTTGTCTCAGCACTTAGGGATCCTTTTAATCAAAAACACTTTTATCAAAAAAAAAAAGTTTTAAATTTCCTTTCGCTTATAATCTCAATGATTATCTATGATGGAGAGACATATTTTACATTATGAATAAGGAGACTATTAGAAAAAAGCTTCTTTAATAAAAATTGCAAAACTACTTTACATTCATTTTCTACATTCTACTTTACATTCTTTACTTTTCATTTCTTTTTTCTTAATAAACATCACATAAAACAACATTAAAAGAACTTAAACATTCAGAAAAAAAAGTTTTTGCCTAAAGGAATGTTTTCAACTTTTACATTTTACAAAAAAGTTTTTTGCTTAACAGAATGTTTCAACATTTACAAAAAAAAGCAAGCTGCGTATCTCTTCTTAATAAGACTTGTCAATATATATATATATATATATATATATATATATATATATATATATATATATATATATATATATATATATATATATATATATATATATATATATATATATATGGCAAATTTAGTTCTATTACTTTATCTCTAAATCCTTAAATAAAATTTGTAAAAAAAATTAAAATAAAATAGTAGTTTTGTTTAAACAATTAAACTTTTCAGGGTTTTTTTAGGAAGTATTTTATTAAATACCTTTAAAGGCTTGTACAATTTTTTTGTGTTCTAATTAATATTAAAAAATGTGAAAAATAAACTTTGACCCTGTGACTTTAAAAATATAGTTTTATTACCATTTTAGTTGCTTTTCTTTTTATAGAATTCTTGAGTTAAAACAAAAACAAAAAAAACTAAAACTAGTGATAAAATTCAATAGCTGCCCTTTTTGGCAACTTATTTGCATCAAAGGGATATTTTTATTTGCCCTTCACAAAATTTTGTTGTCTAATACCGCCGGGCGACCTCAAGTGTACACCTCTGATTAGCAGACCACTACATAGCTATGATACCACTTGCTACAACATAACCTGTTATAGCCAGCTCAAAGCTACTACACAGTCTGTCTCGCAACATAGCTACATAAGCAACATTAAATAGCGACTACTTAACTATGCAAAAATTCCTTGTGATACTTTAATTTGCAATAATACACCTGTCTCTAGCAGTCCAATAAGTATGTAGCAGGCCACATACTTATTGGACTGCTAGAGACAGATGTATTATTGCAAATTAAAGTATCACAAGGAATTTTTGCATAGTTGCTTAGTTTTTTTAAGAAAGCTAATTTTTAATGTATAAAAACAATGTTTTTAAAAAAGCTTCAAATAAAAACAGTGTTTAAAACAATGCTTTGAGAGAAAATATTTTTAAAACTTATTAATTTTAGCATATTATTTAAAGGAAAAAAAGTTTTTATTTTACTTTTAGATATATATCTAATTAAATTTCATATTTTTTTAATAAGGTTTATTAAAATATATAAATTTTTAAATCTAAAATGACATAAATTATTTTTAAAACAACAAAGTATTTCTAAAATGACATTAAGTATTTCATTTTCTCCTAACATCATCTCAGTTAACAAACATGCGGTTGCGTAAACAACTCTTCTTAAATCAAAAATCTAAACAAATAGGAAGAAACATTTGACGGAAATTCACTTTTTTGTGTGTTTTTTAAGCTCAAAGTTTTAATTTACAGAAAATGTAGTTATTTCTCTAAAACATATCAGTCTGGTTTTAAAAAAGTTGCCATCAAATGCTGAATTGTTATTTTTTATTTGAAAAAACACAATAGTTTTCAATAGGCTTTACAATATTAAAATACATGCTTGAGTTTTTTGAGTTCCTTCTTTGAGTTTTTTAATATAAAATATGAAAAATAGAAATTTTTATAGGCATTTTTTTAAAAAACGTTTTAAAAAAACTGAAATCAGCATAAGATTTCCTATCTTTTAAGACCCAGGTTAATTATATTTTGAATAATTTTTTTTTTCCACATATATAGGGCCCTGTCAGATTTTTGGGGCAGTTTCTTCAAAAATTGGTGCAAAATGGGAAGCTAAAATTTTCATAATACTTTTAATGGCATTATATTGCACTCATCTCAACTAGTCCAAGATTCATTTTCTAAAAAAAGTTAAAAACCAACCTGATATATATATATATATATATATATATATATATATATATATATATATTTTTTTTTTTTTTCTGTTATATATATATATATATATATATATATATATATATATATATATATATATATATATATATATATATATATATATATATATATATATATATATATATAACAGAAAAAAATACTGAATCTTTTTAGTCCCTAATAACTTAATAATAAAAGTAAAATGAAGTAAAAATCTAATAATTCTGACCAGGAGGTAATCCACTGGTATTCAGAGTGGTAGCCCTCTCTTTCATTTCATCAAAGGAATTGAGAATTGAAATATGACTAAACTTACTGACCAACAAAAGCATTTGGTTGCCTTGATAATTAATAAAGCAATTGAAGAGCTAAAGTACGACTTTCAAACAAAATTAAATGAGCAAATTAAATTTTTGGAATGGAAATTGTCTAAAAAAGATGCAAAAATGACTGAACTTAATGAGAAGGTGAAAAGATAAGAAGATTTTGTTGGTAATGCAAGTGTATCAACCAGTTTACCTGCTGTTTGTTATAGCCAAATTGTTAAGCAATTAGCCAGGCCAGGTTCTGAGTTGTATAATGCAAGTGTTAAGGTGGCACTCCTGATGAGCAGGCTGAATTTGCAAAATTAAATAAAGAGAGAAAAGGAGCTAATGAGAAAGAGACCAGCTTTTTCGATTTGTCATTCGAATTAGAAAATTGTTCTGTATTGATATCACTACAACAAGGGATTTTGGTGACCGCAAAGTCCACCAATTTTTCAAAGAAAATATTGTTAAACAAACTCGGAAGGTCCCCTACCAGCATATCTTGTAAATCCCATCAAAAGTTATGTAATGTACAACCGCCTATTTACCTAAAGAAAAATAAAGCAACAAACTGCAAACTGTTCTATTACACCAATGCTACCTCTTTAAACTCCAACAAATTGTCAGAATTATCTACAATTGCTTTCACAAACAAAATTGATGTCATTGCAATTATGGAGACTTGTTTTAAATTGTATTCAATTATAAATATTGAAGGCTATGACCTTTATCTTTCTGACTGAGACTAAATGTGGAGGTGGAGATAAATGTGGAGGTGGAGTTGCCAGTTATGTGAATAATAACTTAATAAATGTAGGAATTCTAAATCCTCATCTTCAAAATAAAGAGATTGAACAAATCTGGTGCTTAATAAATTGTGATAATTTTCATTTTATTATTGGTTGTATTTATCCACTGCCAAACTCTACATCCAATTACTCAAAATTGATCCTACACTCAATTAAAACTGCTTCACAGCTAAAATAAAAATAATTACACTGATCTGATTAGGTAGGTGATTTCAATTTACCTAATATAGATTGGACTATTGATGGTCCAATAGTTCTTTCAAATGAAAACTCATGAGCATAAATTCATTGAAGTTTTAAACGACTGTTCTTTATCCCTAATAGCAGACTTTCCAACATTCAAACAAAGCGTTTCTGCGGTAGCAGTCAACATTCTTGACTGCTAACTGGTTTTGTCCCGAACAAATCCTGCACAACAAATCTCATTGAGACTATTGATATTATTACACATGAGATATCAAAGGGTAAATCTTTATGCATTGTACATCTTGACTTTGCAAAAGCTTTTGATAAAGTTGAACACAAAAGATTATTAAAAAAACTTGAATCATATGGTATAACTGGTAAAATATATAACTGGATTGAAAGTTTCCTTAAAAATAGTCAACAAAGAGTCATTGGTAACTCAATTTCGAAAGTAGAGATTCTAAAATTTGGAAAATTCTGTACACAATCTATGTGTGACCTCATCTTGAATTTGTGGCTCCAGCATGGAATCCACCAAATCTAGCAGAAATTTCTATGCTCAAAAAAGTTCAACACAGAACCACCAAAATATCATATTCAAATAGGATGCTTAGTTATAAAGAGCGAATAGTTAAAAGGGGTCTAACGACTTTAAATCTTAGAAGAAAATGAGGAGACTTGATTCAGTTATATAAAATATTAAACAATTTAGAGTCTGTTAACCTTTTTTTTTAAACCAGTCCTTGATTCAAATATTAAATTTGTTTGCCCGAGTGTTACAACTAGAGGTCACAATCACAGAATCCAGATGCAATATTTCACCCCTCATGAAATAAATGACTCTCATGCATCGGTTAATTCAAGAATCCATTTCTTCTCTAACAGAGCGTGCCAACTTTGGAATAAACTTCTGGATGTCGTTGTAAAGTCTGAGAAATTGAACAAATTTAAAGTTTGTTGATATTAGTCTGTTGAAATTATGGATTTATTTTGTTCATGCAACAAACAATTTGTTAAAATAAAGGAATTATTACACTAGGCCGCTTTTGCTGTTTTGGTAAAATAAATAATTTAATATGTCATCGTATTGAATAATTTATTATTAATTTATTTATAATAATTTAATTCTATATAGAAACTTTCGATAACAATAAAAAATAAAAAATTTAAAAAAAAATATAAAAGTTTTTTAAT